GAAGGCTCCCCTTACCACATGCGCCTTATCCCCTCCCACGTCGCCCTCCAGCAGTCTCTCCGGCATAAACTTACACACTTTTCCTCATGTACTCAGTTCTTGCTGCCTCATCTGATCTCTCCCAAGGGGATCTAGGCTCTTTCGAGGGCAGGGTCCCTGTACTCCTTCATTTTTGCCTCCTCCACAACACCTTAAACAGTCTGTCGTCAGTAAACGCTGATTGAACTACGTTTTCTTTCAGACTCACTAGAATATCCAAAAGACAGCCCGGGAGATAAATCAGGCCTCCTCTCCATCCTCACCCTCAAAATGTGTCTAACACACCCTTGCACCCTGGGGTCCCTTCTCGGGCTGTAACCTTAGGCCCCCGCCCCAGGTCTGCTGACAGAGGGCTGTGGGCAGCCGGCCCGAGAGATGTCTGGATGCCCCGGTGAGCAGAGCAGGTCCCTTCCCTCCCTCACCTGTCTGACCCCTTGATGGCCGTGTTGGACTTGACCCGAAAGGCCTTGGCAAACATGTCTGCTGGGGTGGCCCGAGGAAGACAAGGTGAGCACAGAAGCCCGGGATTATCAGGAAAGCGAGAGTGCCGCGGCTCCCCCGCCCTGAACCCTGGGGGCAGCCATGCTGGGGCCCGGCCGCGAAAAGAGCCCGGCTGGAAACCCGGGCTGCGCAGTTTCGGGGCTGCTGCGGCTACGGAGNGAGCTCCTCCTTTCCAGGTACTAAATCAGAGACCTGATCGGTTCCAAGGGTGGGGAAAGCAGCTGTCACATCAGCCCGAAGCTTCCTCCTGCAGGAAGCACACCAGACCATGAATGCTGCCAGGGTGCACTTTAATAAATATCAAGAATTCAGAAGCGCTCATTATAAAATCATGAGGGCCGATGAAAGACAGCCTGGTTTATGATGTCCCACTCTCACACACTCTTCCAAAACTTCCTATTCTCTTTCTCATCCGGTGTCTCACCTATTTTCATACGTTTCTAAGGTATGCTTTTCCATTTTATGGATGGGAAAACTGAGGCCCAGTGAGCAACCCAAGTTAGCCTGACATAAGAAACTCAGCCTTGCCTTCCAGTCTTCACGCCTGATCCTCCGAACCACTCCTTTCTCATATGGCACACACATCAGCTTATGATTAAATAGCTATACCACAGCACCAAGAATGACAAGTACAGGACAGTTTTCAAAACTCCCGATGTGATCTCTGCATTTGCCACACCGCACAGAGAAGGCTCCCCTTACCACATGCGCCTTATCCCCTCCCACGTCGCCCTCCAGCAGTCTCTCC